GTGGAATCAGAGGCTGAGGCCAAGACAGAGGCCGAAGTGGAGGCCAGTAGGAGCAGGGCCCATTAGTTGGTTCTCCAGGAGGGTAAGTCCTGCTTATCTGTCCTGTGTTAAATGAGTAAACTTTACATGGGATGCTCAAGCTAGCGTTTCATCCCATTAGCCCTATCTTGTTAATCCTCTTCAGGTATCAGGTATACCTTAAAAATATCAGTTTTCTAGAAAAATCTTTTTTTTCCCCTCTCCTTGCAGATCAACCAGCCTATGTGAGGTGCCATGTTTGTACTTGGCTTCTCCAAGCATTCCCAGATCAAGCTACAGGAGCAGCGAGGGAAAAGGTGGAGGCAGAGGTAGAGGCAGAAATGGAGGCTGAGGCTGTGGTGGAAATGAAGGCACAGGCAGAAGTTGAGGCAGAGGCTGAGGTGGAGATGAAGGCAGAGGCTGAGGCTGAGGTAGAGCCAGAAGTGGAGGCCAGCAGGAGTGGGGCAACATTGGTCAGTTCTTCAGGAGGGTAAGTTTTGTTTATCTTCCCTGGATTAAATCAGTGGATGGGAGGGTAACACATGAAGTTGAAACACAGGGCAACCCTGCTGTAAAGAGATGGGGACTCAAGGTTGGAGTTTCCATTTGGATTTTTAATTTACTTTTATTTATTCTAGGTTTCTCCACTGAATGTGTCATTCCTCATGTTTGGATTCTAGCGCCATAGGAGGACCGTCCTTTTCTTGAGAAATGACTCCCGCCATCACGTTATCAAAGTCTGAAGCTTGGGTCTCTCAGTGAGCTGCCTTTAACCAGAAACTGAAGGGACCTGGGTCTAGAACTTATGAAAAAGTGCTCTCGTCACATTGAACATGAGCAGACTCAACACAATGCCAACCCAGATCAGAATGTATTTTTTTTAACTTGCCAAGTTAATTATAGTTTCTTTAAAAATGTAAAAGTCTGAGTGTTTTCTGTATTTTTTCTACTCTAGGTATTTGTAGCAGTATAGGTCCAGACATATACTCCATCATGGGCAGTTAAACCTGGGATGGGCCAGCGTTGGAATGTGGAGTCACATCCCACATGGCTGCTAATGGTTTAAATCCAGCCATGGTGACTTGAAAACCACGCCAAGCTTGTGTGTGTGCCTGTCTACTAAATCCAGATGGAGAAATGGAAGACAAACTACAAGGGGAAAATGTCCCATGGAGAGGTGCTTGCTATCTGTCAGTCTATGTCTTTTCTCTTTCTGGCAAGACCATGTCTCTATGGGCAATAAAATGAATTTCAACTCCTTATTTTTTTATTTAATTATGCACTTCTCAGTGGGATATGTATAAATCTCTCTTTTGAGAATATCTTGTGAATTATTTGCTCATGTGTTCTGGCATGAGGTCATCTTCAGCTGGGCTTTCTTATGGGAAATTCCATGGCCATAGTTATGGTAGTGCTCCACAAGAGTAATGAACCTTGACGAACCAGAACTTACCCTCCTGAAAATTGCCTCAGACGTAATAGTAACCTGAATTCAACTTCAAATTGGCTATGGTTTTCCACACCACATAGTTTAAATTTTTGAACTCAAAGACCAGAGTTTATGGGTATCAATTTCAGAAGGTTAATTCTTCTCAACCAAGTCCTAGTCAGGGACCTTGTCATTTCTCTGTGACAATACAGAGTTATCCAGTTTTGTGTAGATAGAAGCAAACCTCAACTCCCTAGTAATTCCCCATATCAATAGTCCATACCCAACCTCATGTCATGTTGCCACATGGTCAGCTCAGGTGTGCACCACCCTTTATTATTCAAGATTGGTAGATTTCCTCTCCATACTCTATTCTGGGGCTGTACCATACTTTGACTAAATCTTTGGTACAAGGCTTTATATTGTTTTTCATTTTATTGTCATATAATATATCTATGAACATAATCACAAGTGTTACTATTGTATTGTTTAAGATAGACTATAGCATTGAGGTTGGGCCATTTCAATTTAGTATGGAGTTTCCAAATCGTATGCAATGTGTGTCCAGCAGCAAGTCAGCACATCAGGGCAGTAAAATAGTTCACATCCATCACCTTCCATTTTTACCCCTGGAAGACTGCAGTAAAAAGACAACACATCAAGATAATTGAAAATGTTGGTAAGACGGTCCCTCACATGGAATAATAGAACCTAAAGTGGCTAATGTATAAAGTAAAATTAGCAGGGGAATCTGATTTCATAGACTACTGAAAAGGGACTATGGACCTTGGGAAGTAAGAGGAGTGACTTTGCTGTTTTTGCCTGCTGAGGATCAAAACTATATGTTATCCCCACAACCTGGACTAGGATGACAGCCCCTCTCAACTCTGTTATTCCACTAGATTACTCTTTTTTCTTTTGGAGAGGTTTTTCGCTACAGGGCACGTGCGCTCGCCAGACAGACAGAGACAGAAAGCGAGAAATCACCCCCCAGGGGGATGGTCACGCTGCAATCCCTTCTCCTCCATTCTCCTCTCGGGATCTTGGGCATGCATGCACACGCGTCCGGCGTGAGTTTTAAGCCACCGGGTCCGGGACGTGAACCACGGTTGACTACGTGGGAGTCCAGCAACATAGCCGTTATGCTAACTGCTGGTCCCTAGATTACTCTTTATTTTTATTTTCTTTAGCATTACACCATAGGGCATGTGAGAGAGGAAGAATATGATTACTCTTTATTTTTATTTTCTTTAGCATTATACCATAGGGCATGTGAGAGAGGAAAAATACAAAATCACCCCCCAGGAGGATGGACAGTTCACACTCCCTTCTGTTCTCCCCTTGGGATTTGGGGTACACACATACGTGCCCTCCTATACTTTTCAGTCCTCCAGGATTGCAACTTGAATAATGGTTGGCCATGTGGGAGTCCTGTGCCTTAACTATCACACCACCTGACTGCCCTCTGTAGTGGTCCCTCTTAAAACTCGAAAGTAGGACCATTACCCTCGTGGGTGGGACTCATGCATTAACCAGCAGTGAGGGCAGAGGCAGAGGTTGTGGTGAGGCTGAGGCAGGCTGAAGCCAAGACAGAGGCCGAAGTGGAGGCCAGTAGGAACAGGGCCCATTAGCTGGTTCTCCAGGAGGGTAAGTCCTGTTTATCTGCCCTGGGTTAAATGAGTGAAATTTACATGGGATGCTCAAGCTAGCGTTTCATCCCATTAGCCCTATCTTGTTAATCCTCTTCAGGTACCAGGTATACCTTAAAAATTGCAATTTTCCTAGAAAATCTTTTTTTCCCCTCTCCCTGCAGATCAACCAGCCTGTGTGAGGTGCCATGTTTGTACCTCGCTTCTCCAAGCAAAACCCCAGATCAAGCTACAGGAGCAGTGAAAGAAAAGGTGGAGGCAGAGGTGGAGGCAGAAATGGAGGCTGAGGCTGAGGTTGAGGCAGAGGCTGTTATAATGGGCATTCAGTCACTGGGTGCTGTGACATAAATGCTGGAAGAGCTCTGGGCACTTGTCCAGTTACGCCCTTGACGCGTTGGGATTGGACGAGTAACTAGGAGTGTTGCTGGATAAGACAATGACTAAAAAGCTAACCCCAATTGCCTCTTTATAGACCTCAGCCTCCTCCCCGTCCTCCTCCTCCTCACCCTCAAGCAAGCTACCTTCCTGCCATCTCTCCTAAGGCTGTTAGCTCTCAGCAGAGTCTCCGGTGCAATGCCTCCATTTTATCTTCCCACTGTACTAATTTCCCTCCCCTGACTAAAACCAGTTCTTGCCCCTGCCCTCCCGTGTGGGTCTCCAAACCCAGCTCTTCCTCTGCGCCCTACCGGCCATCCACTGGCCGCCACCCTGTCTGTCTTGGTTCCCTTTTCAATAACTCCAACTTCTTTCTCCCCACTCCTCCTCCTAGCCCCCCTTCCTAATCCCCTTTACTCCCCACCAACATCCAGCCACCCCCGCCGGCCAGACATGATGCTCTACAGCCTTTATACTGGAGAGAGGGTTTCCCTTCTAGTAGGCCAGTTCTGGTGCAGCTCGGAATTGCTAGGTCTGTACTTCCCAGCAGCAATGCCGGCTGGACATCAGAAATATAGAATGGCAGCTACCGCGCAGCCTGGAGTGTCACCTCCATTAGTTACAGGACCTTGTATTCTGGCAAGGTCCAGGGTCTCTCACTGCCATGTGTACTTTGCCTCCATCCTCATCTTTTCAGTCCTTTTCAGGTGCCTGGGATCCCTTAAGAGTTTCATTATTCTAGACCATCCATCTTTTCCTCTCCTAGCCGATAAGCCATCCTGCATGAGCTGTCACAGTTGTTCCTGGTTTCTCCAGGCAATCCCAGAACAAGATGTAAGAGCAGTGAGGGCAGAGGCCGAGGCTGAGGCAGAGACAGAGGCAGAGGTGGAGGTGAGCAGGTGTGGGGCACCTTGGTTTGTTCCCCAGGGGCTAAGTCCTATCTACCTACCTTAGGTTTAATGAGTGTAACTTAAACACAAGGTAGCCCTGCTGTAATAGATGGGGGCTCAGGGCTGGTGCTTCCTCCCCTAATCCCCATCTTGTTAGTCGTCTTCAGATGTCAGGGATCTCTTAAGCTGCAAGAGCGGTGAGGGCAGAGGAGGAGTTGGAGGCAGAGGCGCAGGCTGAGGTGGTGGTGGTGGTGGAGGCTGAGGCGGAAGCAAGCAGGTGTGGGCCACATTACCATGTTCTCCAGGTGGGTAATTTCTGTCTGCCTAGCTTGGGTTAAATGACTGAAATTTAGACCAGGGATTGGGGCTGGTGTTTCCTCCCTCATCCCCATCTTGTCAGTCCTCTTCAGATGCCAGGGATACCTTAACAATTTCATTTTCCTAGGCTGTCTGTATTTCCTCTCTTAGAAGATCAACCAGCCTGTGTGAGCTGCCATGTTTTTACCTGGTTTCTCCAGGCAACCCCAGAACAAAATATGAGAACAGTGAGGACGGAGGCAGAGGTGGAGGCTTAGACAGTGGCAGAAGTGGAGGCAAGCAGAAACAGGGCACTTTAGTTGCTTTTCTAGGGTAAGTCTTGTTCATATATCTTGGGTTTAAAGAATGAAATTTAGATGGAATGCTCAAGCTGGTGTTTCTTCCCTTTGTCATCCCCATCTTGTTAGTCCTCTTCCTGTGCCATAGATACTTAAAAATTTCAATTTTCTGGACCATCTCTTCTTTCCTCTCCTAGCAGTTTAGTCAGCCCTATGTGAGCTGCCACATTTGTACCTGGCTTCTCCAGGCAACCCCAGAGCAAGATACAAGAGCAGTGAGGGCGGAGGTGGAGGTGGAGGCTGATGCAAAGGCTGATATGGAGGTGGAAGCAGGAGTGGAGGCCAGCAGGAGTAAGACCCACTAGTCAGTCCTTCAGGAGGTAAGTCCTGCTTATCTGTCCTAGGTTAAATGAATCGAGTGATGGAAGAAAAGAACTGCAAGGTGAAAATGCTCCATTGGCAGGTGCTTTCTCTACCTCCCAGCAAGCTGCAAAAGCTGTGAGTATAAGCTGAAGGCTGAGCAGGAGGTGGAGGCTGTGGTGGAAGCTGAGGCTGGGGCAGAGTTGGAGGCGAGCAGGAGTGGGGCACATTAGTCTGTTCCCCTGTAAGTCCTGTCGACCTGCCCTGGGTCAAATGAGTGAGTAATCGAGTAACCCTGAAAATTCAAACATAGGGCAACCCTGCTGTAGAAATGGTTACCTGGGGCTCGTGTTTTAGTTTCAGCTTTTGTAAATTTTGCTTTTGTTCTAGCTTCCCCTCCAAATGCATCATTTCTCGGGTTAGGAATCTAAGACCAAGAGAGGGTCTTTCTTTCCTTAAGAAATGCCTTGTCTCATCATGTTCTCATCAAAGTCTGAAGGTCGAATCTATCATTCTGTGCTGTCTGCACACTGGAAGTTGAAGGGGGGAGGTCAGTTGTAGAAAGCAGATTATGGCCAGGCCATC